TCCCTGGTTGAGTTGTGAGCCGCCCTGAGTCCCCTTCGGGGGGAAAGGGCGGCATATAAATAAAATCAACAACAACAACAACATCAACAACAAATCCGACTGCCATCTTGATTTTTTTTAAAACTCTAGCCACAGACTCCCCAGGGCTGCATACAAGCAACAGGAAGAGGAATGTAGCATGTCCATGTACAGCTTTGGCTAGCTACTCAAAGAATGGCACAATGGTTTAGCTGCTTCTACTGACAGCCATAACACAGATGATAAAGCAGCATATAGATTTAAAGCCAGAAATATTTTTGTTAGGTATAATACCAGAAAAGCTATGATAACAGGACTGTATCAGTGATGGTTAACCTTTTCGATATCAAGTGCTGAAACTGGAGCACGCATGTGTACGCATGCCTGTACACTGGAGCGCCGGAACCTGGAAGAGAGCAGCTGGCTGGTGTGCATGTGTGCAAGGGAACCCGGAAGAGCAGCTGGAAATGGTGTGCGTGCCCACAGAGAGGGCTCTGCGTGCCACCACGCGTGCCACAGGTTCACCATCCTGGATCTAAGTGAAATGTTAATACTGTGTTTTCCCGAAATTATGACGTCCTGATAATAAGGCCATGCCACCTTTTTCTGGTGGGCAAAAATATAAGCCCTCCCCCGCAAATAAGCCCCCTGGAGAACCCCCCCACCTCCAACCAGGCAGAGCTCTGCTCACCAACCTAGTGGTATCCCAAAGGTGCCAAGCTGCGGGAACCAGGGGGGGAGGCAAAGGTAATTGCGTTGCTTAGCGCCTTTGGGATACCGCAAGTTGGTGAGTGGCTCTGTGCCCAGTTGAAGAGGGGGGTTGCCAGGCGGCTGCTCTGTTGTGAACGGGCTCCCAAAGAGCCGGGTACAGCCTCATGGGTGAATGGCTGTGTTGCGCTGTCACAGCAGCCATGAAGCGACCACACTCATGAGCAGCCACCCGGCAAACCCCCTTTCCAGTCGGGCACAGTGCCATTCACTGATCTAGGGGTATCGGCAAGCCATGTGAGTGCCGGTTCAGCCAGGGCTGAAAAGAGAGACGGACGACTGTTTTTCACACAATAATTTCACCTGTGGTCATGTGATCAAAATTCAGATGCTTGGCAACTGGTACGTATTTATGATTGTTCACTGTCCTGGGGTCATGTGATCACCTTTTGCGGCCTTCCGGCAAGTCACATCAACGAGGAAGCCAGATTCATTTGACAACTATAGCAAGAAACGTGGTAGAAGAGGGCAAAACTCACTTAACAACTGTCTTGCTTAGCAATGAAAATTTGGGGCTCAGAATTAGAAAATATGGTATTAATATTGTAGGAAAGGTAGGAATTGGTTATGTATATGTAGTGATAGTAACTATACAATGAAAGGGATTAATGGGTAGGTAATTTGACTGATTACACATACCTATGTAATGGATATAAATTGTTATTGTTGTAAGGTTAAAAAAACTCAGTGGAACTGACTATGCCAAAATACTATATCCAACATTTTTAATGTTTACTTAATAAAAACTTTAAATTTAAAAAAAAATAAAGAAAATTTGGGGATCGCTTAGGGTCATAAATTGAGGACTACCTGTAGCCATTGTGACTACAAAAACAGGATCACCGCCTCATTCAGATTAATAAGGGACACACCCAGCATGAAGCATCTTGTTTTAAAACGGTCTCCAGAAGCACGCGGGATGTGTGGATTCCACGTGAATCGTGCAGTTCTGCTGTGCATTCCCCAACCTGGTCAGGGAGGGTTGCATTGGGATCCCAACTCACAAAATCCTTAGCACATCTGGAAGGAGCCAGCTTAGGGAAAGCTGCTGTGGCAGACGCCTGACTCCACCACTCCCAAGGCTGCCTCTGGAGGGAGATGGCGATCGCTCCCCAGGAAATATCTGCTTCCCAGCTGTCTTGATGATTACAGATGGGCCGAGAGCCGCCTGAGAAGGGAAACTCCAGCCAGCCACTTCCTGAATTGATTTTCCGCTCAGCGTCCCGCAGCAGGAAATGTGGCTGTTTTCCCAGTGTGAAGCCTTCATGCAGACGGGACTGCCAGGAAGGAGAGAGAGACTGGGGAGTGTTTGGTGGGCCATGCCCTTTCTTTTTCCCCAGACCAATCGTGCGGGATCCCCAATTTATAGAATGAAAATAGAACGGAAGAAACAACACTCCACCCATGCCTTGTTCAAAACCCTCTCAGCCCCCCTTCCCACCCCCCCCCAACCAGAGCTTCACCAAAGAGAATCTCTGCTAATGTTATTGAATAAAACACAACCGGCTGGCTTCATATAGATTGTGCTAGAAAATCTTTTTAAAGTCACAATGGCTGGGTGGGTGGGTTAGTGGACTATTTTAAGATATGGGAAACAATCAGTAAGGAGACCCCAAAGGTGCTTTTTTTTTCAAGAGACAATTGGACTTTCTGGTTTTTTCTTTGGAGACGTTTCGCTTCTTATCCCAGAAGCTTCTTCAAGAAGTTTTGGACAACCATGATGTGGATGACACAGAATCTCCATACCAAAGGTGGGTCGCTACCAGTTCGCATCGGTTCAGGTGAACCGGTAGTGGAAATTTGGACTGGGTCGCCGAACCGGACAGCAGGCTTGGTACGTCCCCAGACTGGTTCCCGGTTGCCCATGCTGTTGCCGGCTTGTTTTTTTAGTCATTTTATAATGTCCTGCGCATGCACAGAACAATTTATAGGCAACTGTACGTGCGCAAGCAATGTGTGGCATGCGTGCACGCAGCGAACCGGCAGTAATGCCGGCAGCCACCCACCCCTGCTCCCTACTCAGTAAGGAGTGTTTCTGGTGTGTGTGTGTGTTTGTGTGTGTGTGTGTGTGTGTTTGTGTGGTCTAGCATCCTGGTTTCTGTAATAGTCCCCCAGATTCCCATTCACCCACCCAAAAATTTCATATGCAGGATCTGAAGACAATAACTTTTCTTTCATCCCCAGCATTTAATATTCATCAATACAATGCTGCCGAGCGAGGTTGTTTTTTTTTTGCTACTGAAAGAAAACCTACTAATAAACTCAACTTTTTCCATGAATTTGCCTGATCTCCTTTTGTGACTATTTTTCCTGAATACAATTCAGTTCTTCCTTCGGCTTCAGATAATTGCTGCGAACTTTAACCCAGAAGATATTAGACTGTAAAGTTGGCAGGAGCCACTTAAGTTTAGTGGGAGAGGCTGATTATTACATTCGGAGGGACCACTTCAACATGTCTTCTATCCTTCTGCCAAAATCCTCTCTTTATCACCACCAGTGCAGCTTCTAAACCTAAATCAGTGTTTTTTTCAAACTTGGCTTTGGAATTCTGGGAGTTGGTCCCCACATCTTAAATTTGCCAATTTCGAAAAATACTGCCTTAAATAAAGTTTCCATCTTCCACAAGTGTTATGAGTGCAGAACCACCTGCAGCCTCTGGATGGCGCCATGTGCTGACGAGTTCGTAGCTGGTGGGTCTCCTTCACTTGCCAATACAAAAGTCCTTGAAGATGATTGCCAAGAGCTCTTCGGTGCCCACTTGGCCTGTCAGCCGCCCTAGTTGTCGCCGTGCCAGTCGCAGCTGCTCCGCAGCCAACACCAGATCCATAAGCTGGTACTCAGCAAAGCATCCAAGGGCCTCCAAGCACTTCTGCAAGCTGAGCTGGTGACGTGCCTGCGTTGGACTGGGGGAACCAGTTCGGGGATCTCCGCACCTGCAGAGCGAGAACATTAAGATTTGCAGTTCTTAAGCAGATGATTTATCGGCATGTATGAATTATGCTGGGTTTGTTACTTGCATTCATAGGAAACGGGCAGCATCTGAGCATCTACAGTTGAGATACACAGAAGAATGCAATAGCAATAGCAATAGCAGTTAGGCTTATATACCGCTTCATAGGGCTTTCAGCCCTCTCTAAGTGGTTTACAGAGTCAGCATATCGCCCCCAACAACAATCCGGGTCCTCATTTCACCCACCTCGGAAGGATGGAAGGCGGACTCGAAGTTGGCAAAAGTTTTG